ATGTGAGCCAGACAAACGTCTTCTTGTTCCCCACGCCCCATGCACAGCAAGCGTTCTTGCTCACATGTTTCTTATTCTGCACTGCCTGCTGTTTTAAATGGAAACTGTAGTGGCAGAAACACTACTATTACACTAGTGAAAAATGGCTAAGCATTACACCTAACCTCATCATTTTCCAGTGAGGGGTGTATTAGGACTGAACTGTATTAGGAAACCACAAACAGGTCAGAACTGGCAGGTCCCTTTTTGTCAAGTTCACCTGGAGGAAGGTTTTAATTGCTGCCAAACTAGGATATAACCCTGCAAAATCCTGGGGAGCTATTGCCAGTCAGTGTGGACAATACTGAACCAGATAGACCAATATTCTGACTTGGTCTACGGTAGTTCTGTATGGTGCTATGAGAGCTTTACAACTAACATCCCTGAAATCTTCTAAGGACCTTGAGGGGTCCTAATACCCTTTTACCCTGCTTTGCATACAAGAAGTTCCAGATTAAATCTCTGGCTCTTCCAAGGTGACTTACCCTCCAGGAACTTGATGTACATTGGTGGCATGCGGTGAAATTTTTCATAGGGGAACAGATGTGCCACAAAGAAGGTCTGACAGAACCCGAGACCAGGAAGAAGAGACAGTGGATGAAGATTGGAAGATAGTTTAAAAATTTATTTAGAGAAATATTGTAAAAATAATGAGTGCTAGAAAAATGCTGGAAGGAAACTATTTGGCTTTAGTAGAAATGCTATAAGGAGTTATGTACAAATAAGTTTTAAGTTTTAGGGTTTTTTAATGGTAAGATAAGGTTAAAATAAATTAAGATAATTAAAGGACAGAATATAGTGAAAGATGGGAAGGATTTGCTGAGATAATTAATAATTAGAATACAAAAAAGGGAGGTGTGAGGAAGTCGATGAAACAAGTTAATGAAAGACAAAGATATGGGAATATTGGATTTGTTTTTAATTCTTTTTTTGTGCTTTTGTTTTTGGTTCTGATGTATTGTGTGTTTTGTACTCTTTTTTTATTGACTTGTATTGTTTAATTGCTTTTTTCTCTTTTTCCTTTTTCTTTTTTTCCTGTAATTTCAAATTCTCAATAAATATCATTTTAAAAAACACACAAAGAAGGTCCAAAACACAACATTGTGGAAGCAGGCGCATTTCACCAAATTACGCTGGCCTTGGCACAGGTTTGCAGCCTGACTGCACATGTGCAGATACATTCTCTAAGCAGGGAAATGTTTCTTTAACTGAGTCCCTCTCTATACTTTCTAACTAAAGTACAGTGGTACCTCGGGTTAATTCGTTCCGGAGGTCCGTTTTTAACCTGAAACTGTTCTTAACCTGAAGCACCACTTTAGCTAATGGGGCCTCCTGCTGCCACTGCGCCGCCGCAGCATGATTTCTGTTCTCATCCTGAAGCAAAGTTCTTAACCCGAGGTACTATTTCTGGGTTAGCAGAGTCTGTAACCTGAAGCGTATGTAACCTGAAGCGTATGTAACCCGAGGTGCGACTGTATAGACACACGGTATGGTCTTTCTGGTCACTTCACTTGAATGCTTGAAACTGCATGCTTTTAGTTGCTACAGGGAACCAACAAACAAACCTGTGCTGTGTTGTCTTGAGAACAAAAGGAGACACGTTAAACGCAACGCACCAAACACCACGTGTAGTTATTTTGTCCAACAGACTATTCCTGTTCCTCGGCTCCAGCCGCTCCCGCTGATGACTCATCTGTCGTAAGTGGAAGCCAAAGCAGGGCTGTACAAAATGCATTTGCACGCAGGAAATGAAGCAAGGGAACATCTCTCGAACAGAGTATTTATCACATCAGAGTGATAAATATCGTGATATAAACATGAATGTATACGAATGAGTTGGACACACTTTAATACTCTAATTTACCAAGAAGAAGGAGGAGAAGGAGAAGAAGAGTTTGGATTAGATATCCCACTTTATCACTACTCGAAGGAGTCTCAAAGCGGCTAACATTCTCCTTTCCCTTCCTCCCCCACAACAAACACTCTGTGAGGTGAGTGGGGCTGAGAGACTTCAGAGAAGTGTGATTAGCCCAAGGTCACACAGCAGCTGCATGTGGAGGAGCGGAGACGCGAACCTGGTTCCCCAGATTACGAGACTACCGCTCTTAACCACTACACCACGCTGGCTCTCCAGGAACATTTAGGGGACTAGCCTAGTTCCCCCAAGTCCACTGACTGCACGCAGCAAGACTGAGCTAGATGGACCAAGAATCTCACAGTTTCCTATGTTCCTATGTCTCACCCGTGGCTCAGTGGTGGCACACCTGCTTGGCACACAGAAGGCCTCAGGTTATACCCTCAGCACCTTCAGTTAAAAGAAATAAGGAGCTGGTGCTTATAAAGGCCTCTCTGCCCCATGACCTTGGAGACCCACAGTTGTTCTTAGAAGACAGTGCTGAGCAAGATGTAGAAGTCATTTATGTATACACCTCATTGTTTTAATATTGTTTTTTATATGCAAAAGCTTTAGCTCTTTATACATGCAAATGTTGTAACGGCCACCCTAGGCTCCTTTGGGAGGGAGGGATATAAACTTGAATAAACAAACATCTGCTATTTTGGGTGTATGTTTTCATTGGATTGTAAATCACTCTGGGGCGGCTAGTGGGAAGTGATTTATAAAGAAATAGAGAGGTGCTCATTTTAGTTACTTTGAGGCAAGTGTAGCCAGGGTGGCACCCAGGTGATGTTCTGGACTGCTGTTCCTGTTGGACCAAACGAATGTGGCCAGTTGTCAGGGATGTTGGGAATTGTACATGACAACATCTGTATGTCGCTACATTGGCTTTGTCTGGCTTCAGGGATACAAGAAATTAGTCCCCCCCCCCTTTAATTTTTCCATACTAAGTAATACAGACGAGTCCAATAATACTTATTCTCTCATCTGCCCAGTGATCTTTTAATGTCCTCTCAGCATTCTGATGTTCACTGAGGGCATATCTAAGAGGACAGAGGCTGCCACAATCTCTTAGAATCCAGCTACAGAGAACATCATCTGCTTTATGAGGAGGTTCTGATCGCCTCCAGTCCCAACTATTTTTTGCCTTTCTCCTAAGGCTGTCCTTTTTTGTTTTTAAGCTCTTTACTATTTGTGTGTGTGTGTGTGTGTGTTTTAAGTCTTTGGTGTGGATGTTTTTAAAGGCTTGCTGCAGAATATACGTTTCTCTCCAGAACAGTTTCTGCATTTGCTCCTTTCAGGAGGAACAATTTTCTGTGTGCCTATTAATCTAATAAAGCTGCTGAAAGAGCTTATCCCCTGTCAGCAAGAGGAGAAAGTTCTGCAACAGAATATGGTGGGTCAGGTGTTAAGTAAGATGACCCCGAAACTGCATTCCCTCAGCCGTTTACTCCATTTCCCTCGTGTTTCCTTGTCAGTTTCTGCATTGTATTTGAGCTTCCACATGCCATAAAAGCCACTTCCAGAAAACTAATGGAATGTTGTGCATTTTTTGCACTCATTTCCATTTTATTTGATTCCAGAAAAAAACCCTGTTTGCAGCCCCCTTACCCCAGAAAACCACAGAAGTGACAAAATTCAGAGCACTATAACAGCATACAGTTCTTTTCTGTCATTTTCATGGGGAAATCACAGGGGAACGAAAACATGCATGTGTGGAAAGTGTGAGGGAGCTACTATTATTATTATTGTTGTTGTTATATTATTATTATTATTATTATTATTATTCCCCAACCACTCTGGGTGGTTTCCAACACATATAAAAACATAATAAAATACCAGACATTAAAAGCTTCCCCATACAGCATTGCCTTCAGATGTTTTCTAAAAGTTGTATAGTTATTTATCTCCTTGACATCTGATGGGAGGGAGTTCCACAGGGTGGGTGCCACTACCGAGAAGGCCCTCTGGCTGGTTCCTTGCAACCTCAGTTCTCGCAGTGAGGGAACCACCAGAAGGCCCTCGGCGCTGGACCTCAGTGTCTGGGCTGAACGATGGGGGTATACAGGGCCAAGGCCATTTAGGGCTTTAAAGGTCAGCACCAACACATTGCCCAACAATGTTTGTTGTTATGTCACACCGTGCCCACTGGTGTGAATGAAAATTAGCATGGCATTCGAGTATATGAGTAAAAAACACACCACTTTCCATATTTGAACAGGTACTGCAATGCGAAAGGAACGTTAGAAAATAGGACACAAGCCTGCTAAAACTTATTGTGAAACAATGAGTTTCATTGTTCATGATACATGAAGAGCATAAAAAGATTTTTAGGAGTTCAATCTTTAAAAAACCAGATGAATTTTTGCTGGGTTTAGTATCAAGTGGCATTCCTAAGGATAAAAGGAATATATTCCTTTACGCAACCGCGGCAGCCAGAATCATAGTGGCAAAAAATTGGAAAATTGATAAAATACCAGAATTATTCAAATGGAGAATCAAATTTCTTGAATTCGCGGAGATGGTAAAATTAACAGCATCAATTAGAGGCTACTCTAATCAAAAAATTAATAAAGAGTGGGAATGCGTTAAGGAAGGCATGAAAAAAGTTGGTGCTGGAGGTTAAAAATTAATATGCAAAAGTTTAAAAGGCGCAAGGAGATAGGATAATAATATATTAAGGATGGAATAACAAAGTGAATAACACAACAATAACAAAAATAATAGTAGGTAAAGAAGATCACACACGGGTGGAGGGAAGTACTGGGCTGTGGGGGAGGGAGGTGACGAGATTAATTGAAACTGTTAAAGATGGGTATAGGATTTAAGAGATTTAAATTTTCATAAAGATTCTATAAGGAAAGCAGAAAGCAGCAAAAAATATCAAGTAAAGCTATTGGAGAGGAGATCAGCGTAAATGAAAACATGAGACTTATGGTTTTGTTACATATGATTTTATTTTGGAGTTGTCTGTATATTTTGGAGTTGTTTGTTGTAAAGAATGTATATTATGTGAATAAAATAATAAAGGATGAAAACTAAAACTCGTTGCCTCTCCTCACAGGTGAGTGTGTTGACCACCTTGGAGCGGAGATTCAACCTGCAGAGTGCCGACGTGGGTGTGATTGCCAGCAGCTTTGAGATTGGGAACTTGGCTCTCATCCTCTTTGTCAGCTATTTTGGTGCCCGGGGCCACCGGCCTCGCTTGATAGGATGCGGAGGGATCGTCATGGCTCTCGGGGCTCTCCTCTCAGCGCTGCCCGAATTCCTGACCCATCAGTACGAATACGAAGCCGGGGAGATTCGGTGGGGCGCCGAAGGGAGGGATGTTTGCGTGGTCAATGGCTCTGCCAGTGATGAGGGACCAGACCCGGAGCTTATCTGCAGGAACAGAACTGCCACCAACATGATGTATTTGCTTCTCATTGGAGCTCAAGTCCTCCTAGGGATTGGGGCCACCCCTGTACAGCCTTTAGGAGTTTCCTACATCGACGACCACGTGAGAAGGAAAGACTCTTCCCTGTATATAGGTAAGTGGTGGAGCTTTCCAGAGTATCGTTTTGGCTGTTTCTTGTCCTCTTTACTAACATTGTTCTTTGTAGATTTGGAATGGTGCCTTCTTGCTTCTGAATTCTTGTTCATTGGGTGGGAATCCTCATCATCATTATATTACTACAGTGGTACCTCGGGTTAAGTACTTAATTCGTTCCGGAGGTCCGTTCTTAACCTGAAACTGTTCTTAACCTGAAGCACCATTTTAGCTAATGGGGCCTCCTGCTGCTGCCACGCCGCCGGAACACGATTTCTGTTCTCATCCTGAAGCAAAGTTCTTAACCTGAGGTACTATTTCTGGGTTAGCGGAGTCTGTAACCTGAAGCGTATTTAACCTGAAGTGTATGTAACCCGAGGTACCACTGTATTTGATGGACAGCCAATGAAGCTTAATGTTGGAGGACTAAGGATCAATAAAAGAATCAACTTGTTCACACGGCGCATAAAATATGGAACTTGCTCCCACAGAAGGCAGTGAAGGCCACCAACTTGGATGGCTTTAAGAGAGGGTTGAACAGATTTGTGGAGGAGAAGGCTATCTATGGGGACTAGCCATGACGGTCATGCTCTGCCTCCATGTTCAGAGGCAGTAATGCTTCTGGGTTCCAGTTGCTGGAGGCTACAGGAGGAGGAGGTGCTCTTGTTCACGGGCCCTTCTTACAGGTTTCCCACAGGTAACTGGGTGGCCACCATGAGAATGGGGTTCTGGCCCAGAGGACCCTGATGCAACAGGGATATTCTTACGTTCTTAAGAATAAACCTCTACAGCACCTTCCTCTTTCCTGATGACTAGTTTAAGTCTCCATTTCCTTTCTTTTTTATAAATTTGTTTATTTGGTTTTTCAGACTAAAATTTTACAGTCATGTATCCAACATACAACACAGAAACAAGATTCCAAAGAATCTCCTGGATTCCCCTTTGTGGGTCCTCTTGTTAATCATTTCCTCCTGCATCTTTTATAATAATCCAAATCTTTTACCTCTCCATTGTATCCAAAATTCACCATTAAACTACAAGTGATATATTCCAGTCCTACTAACGATTTTAACTGTGTTTACAACGGTTTTTAAAATAAATTATACATTTCCCCCATTCCTTATTAAAATTTTGGTCTTCCTGATTTCTGATTCTTCTGGTCATTTTAGCCATTTCACCATAATCCATCAACTTGATCTGCCATTCTTCTCTGGTCGGGACTTTATCTTCTTTCCATCTCTGGGCCAATAACATCCATGCAGCCGTGGTCACATACATAAATAGTCTTTTCTTAGGTCTCTGTTTTCATTCACCTTCCCCAGGAAATAGTTGCCATTCCAGAAACATGTGTGCCTCTTGGCTCGTTGCTCCGAAAATTAGTTATTTTGGAACACAATGCCAAAATATTTATGATGGGGAAAATAATGGCATCTTGAAACGAGATGGAATTTGTGGATATCCATGGTGGATGGGTGTAGGGGCAGATTAGGGCTGTGCAATGGGTGCTGAACCATGGAGCTGCTGTCTTAGAGCCCAGAAAACAAGGTGCTGGACTTTCAGAAGGAAGCATGAAGGTCTGTCAGGGTCCTAGAGTCCTCCCTCTTGTCCCTAAAGTCTAGTTAGTACTTTCCTAGCTTTGGGAAGGAGGAGGGAGGGCTCTAGGACCCAGGCAGGGCTCTCGTATCTCTTTCCCAAAGCTGGGTGCCTCCTTACCTGCCTTTGGAAAGGCATTGAGAGGATGGTGGGGCAAATTTTGGCCTTGCGCAGGGTACCGTAGGATCCAAGTCCACCACTGGTGGGTGGATAGGGAAATTAAGGGTGTGGCAGAAAAGAAACTATTATGAATAGCTCCTCTTGCCCCGTCTATTTGATTATTATTTTTTGTAATTAGAATGGCAGGAAAGAGATAACCATTCTATTTATTCATGGTTGTTGGCATTAGAGAAAGCTGATGATCTGTTAATAATCCTTTTGGGCTGACAAGTGTAATGAGAGAGTGGTTAATTAGGAAGATATTCTCCTAATGTTTTCTGCAAGTGAAATCTCTAAAGCACCCTTAACTTTTTTATGGATCTTTTTTTTATTGACTTCAAAGTTACCAATTATGACTTTCTTATCTAGGCAGTAAGGTTCCCTCCTCCCACTTTTCATTGCTTTAAGTCAGTTGCTGGAAGATTCAGGTTTAGTTTCTGCCTAGTGGGAAGTAATATGTTTTCAGTCTGCCCTTGGGATCACAAGCCAAGACATGTAAGTTGTTCTTGTGTAAAATAACAGAGGAAGACACCAACACTTTTCACAGACGCTTGTACCGATGTCATTCAAAAGATTCAGAAGCATCATAAGAGGTCAACAATGATTTACAAGGAGCTAAGATAGGGAAGGTTGCTTTGCCTGGCATCTTTCATCAAACTGAGGAATAGGTGGCTGCCTATCTTTAGCGATGAGAAAATCCACCAATTTCAGTTTCCCTGTTCCTCTTGTTTCCAATCTTAACTTTTAGACCACACTTTCACATCAGTTTGTGATTTCTTTTCAAAAGTCCTCATAAAAAAATGCATTTTAGCATAAATTTCTGCAAATATACACATTCAATGCAGTAGCCACATATTTTGCAAAGTGATCCCCCCTACTATAACATTTTTTTCTATGTTATTTTCAATATATGCATTTCTTTGGACACTTTATGCATTTTGTGCATTTTGTGTACACATTGCTTGAGAACTGCATTGCAGAATTTGGAGGATTACAAAAGATGGCCGTGCTTTGGTTACCGTATGGTTTCAGAAAGTGCAAATTAGGTTGGTTTCATTCTCAGTGCAAACTGAGTCTGATTTCTCCCTTATTCCTACTTACAGTACATCCCATTGCTGCCCCAAAGCCACCAATAAAAGACAGCAGAAGGGATAAGCCACCTTCACTAAAGACTGAGCTGGAAAACAGGTGTATGAAACCCTGAATTGCAGTAATAGATGCATACCTGTTAGAAGACCCCTGTGGGAAGGTGGTCAGGGCTGGGGGTCATAGGGTAGAGTGGGCATCTTGAAGGCTGGGCTGCCCTTCTCAGACACTTTATAATAATAATAAAAAATAAAATTTTATTTATACCCCACCCTCCTCGGCCAGAGCCGGGCTCAGGGTGGCTAACACCAATAAAATTACAATAAAACATAATGGGGGGGGGACAAACAAACAAACAAAAAACCAGTTTATTAAAATATGGGTTAAAATGCAATTTCAAATGCAGCCTCATTTTAATAGTAGCCCATAAATCAAAACTATAAGGGGAGGGAAACATAAGGGTCAGAATGAGTCCAAACCAAAGGCCAGGCGGAACAGCTCTGCCTTGCAGGCCCTGCAGAAAGATGTCAAGTCCCTCAGGGCCCTAGTCTCTTGTGACAGAGCAGTCCACCAAGTTGGGGCAGGTACTGAAAAGGCCCTGGCCCTAGTTGAGACCAATCTAACCACCTTGTGGCTTGGGACCTCATTGTTATTTGTGGATCCTCCGTGGGGCATACCTTTGGAAAACAAAGAAGAGGAATCCTTTATGATAGTTTGACGTGTTCAGCCTTAAACTTTTCCATCAATGGTGGCTGGGGGCCCATTTGGGATTTGTGGGGCAGAAAGGAAGGGAGCCCAGCAGAGGATGGAGCCAGAGTCAGTGGCAGGCACAGACAGCCAACTTATTCATTCATTCATTTTATTCAATTAAATCTAGATGTCACCTTTCCCCCAAAAGGAGCCTAGGGTAGCAAACACTCCTGTGATGGAAACAACAACATACAATTAAAAGCAAATGTTATCCCCCTAGAGCATTGTGGATCCAGGAAAAGGGCTCCCACTGTCATTTTCATTTGTGGGAAACGCTTCCTTTCTCACCACTGGCCAAAGTGAACTGGGGTAGTGGAGAAGTTTTTTCTTGGGCTCTGTCTTCCTCCCTCAAAGGCCTCACATAAACCCAGCTTAGCTCCTCATTGTTCAGCCAGCTTACACAGCCCTGCCCTTTTCTCCCTTGATCTCCATCGTGACTGGCTGCCAGGAAGGGAAGCCTCTGTCGACTAGTCCTTTCTGGTAGCTATGATACCTCTTGTTCCAAAACACAGTTGGCTCAGATGATGACTTGGCAACCCTTGGATTGTTCCCCTGTTTCTGCTTTTTAACTTTCTGCACTGCAATCTCACCTTAGGTGAAATATCAGAGACAGAATGCCTCTATTGGCTGGCCTTTGTGGTCCCTCTTATTTGTTTTAATTACTGTATTTGACAAAATTTATATACCACTTGATTGTTTACACACACAAAAAAAGACCCCAGCACCCTCAAAGCTGTTTACAAGAAGACTAAAACAATGAAATTATTGGGGAGTGAGGGGAACTGTTAAAAACAAGCATTTAAAGGATTCAAAGCAATAAGCTAAAACCAGATTAAGACACATGTCAGTATCTTGCATGTCTGAATAGGCTTGCTTGAAGAGAAAAGTGGAACAGGCTACTTCAGAAGGTGGTATTCTCTTTCATTGGAGGGTTTTAAATAGAGACTAGATGACCAGGGATTCTTGAGCTGTGATACCTGCATTGCAGGGGGTTGGACTAGATGACCCATGGGTCCCATTCCAACTCTGCAATTCTCTGATGCCTGATAGGTAAGGAAAAGGAGGTTCCAGCACAGAAAAGTTCCACAACTCCAAAGGCCTAGTTCCTACATGTGGAACAGACTTCCTGATGAGAATGGTGTCTTCAGGAGGCCCTCTTCTACAGAGTGCCAGGGATGTGTGCAGTGTATAAGGGTGTGGTTATCTTTTTGGTCAGGGCTCAGGAACAGCTTGACAGACCGTTTCTCACATTCCATGCCCATTTGCCCACACCTGTAGCCATATGTGATGTCAGGTGTGGGTCAAGTAGGAACACGGCTGGGTCAGAAAACAAGATTGAGCTCCCTGTGCATCACCTTTATCACTTCCATCCTATGTGATTCCAGGAATCTGACTAAGGTCTCCATGGGGAAC